TTCTATTTTTTTTTTTTTTTCAGTTTTTTAAGTTTACATCTAATCTTTATGTTTTATTTTACTTCAGCATTACATCAATTAACGAAGATTTTAATTAAACTGACTGACAATCTTTTCCTCCAGTGAGCTGAACTCTGATTTGTGAATTAATCTTTAAATCCAAATTAAGAACTAAAATCAAAAAATAATCATTTGTGGCTTGGAACACCACGGGGGGTGAGGAAATAATGTAAATGTTTATTTTGAACTTCCTCTCAGAAGCACAATTTTCACTAATAGTCTGTCAGTTTAAGTCCTGATTATTTCACAGGCATAATTGTGCAAGAAAGTGGAATATGAAGTTGTGCTTGAGGCAGAGTTTCCTAATCATGAAAGCCTGGAAATACCAGAGAGTTTTACAATTGTGATTTTCAGGCTTGGAGAAGTCATGGAAATGTCTGTATTATGATTTCTGTAGTTATGCGTTTCAGAGCGAGTCTGTTGAATGTAAATGCCTTTGTGGCTAAAAACAGTTTCCTGTATGTTACGCTAAGGGTGTGGCCTTTTTGTTAAAGGGGTCATATAATGCTGCTAAAAAGAACATTATGTTGTGTATTTCATGTAATGAAATGTGTTTATGCGGTTTAAGGTTAAAAAAACACATTGTTTTCCACATACTGTACATTATTGTTTCTCCTCTATGCCCCGCCTTTCTGAAACGCGTCGATTTTTACAAAGCTCATCGGTCTGAAAAGCGAGGTGTGCTGGGGCGTGTTAGAACGAGCCGTTTTAGGTAGGCGTGGTTGACTCTTAACTTTTATAAAGAATATCTCTTTGGATTTGAGACTTTAGTCTTTGCAACTTTACAGATCTTCTTTATGCACCAAGAGCTTGTAACACTCCAAAGAGAAAGGAACAATTGAAATCACATCATATGACCCCTTTAACTATGATAACCATGTTGTGATTTTATCCAGTATCTAATCACAAATGCCTGGAAAATAATAAGGCCTCAAAATGAATCATAATTATTTTAAAAAAGGTGGAGTCATCACTAGTGTCTCATACAGACCTCAAAAGGTCATGAACCTGGGAAACTTTGTCAAATTCAGAGACTCGGTCTTCTTCAGACGTGCTCGTTATAGCAGTCCACTACATTGTAAACAAAACTTTGTTTGCTAGCAAAACCCTGGGCACTCAGACTCTCAGAAGTTGCGTAAAAGTCGGCCAATCTGATTAGCAATGCATATTTAAACCAACCGGTACGATTTTTGCATGCATTATGCATCAGGCGCTGTGTGAACGGTCCCTAGCAGTGCCGTCTGAGACTCAGTGTTCAGAATAACATACTAACAACTACTGTTACAATGTCTGCAGTGTATATTATCTACACTGTTCATAGTATGTGAATTTCTGTAAGCATATAATAGGATGACATGCCAGTGTTATTTTATTATTATTAATATACTATTATAGTATTTAGTAATATTTTGATTTTTTTTTATTTTAGAGTAAGTTTTTGTCATTTTGTTATGAGCTTTTGTAATTTTTATCAGTTTTTGTTTTTATTCAATATTTCTTTTTAGCTTTAATTTATATTTATTTCAGTTTTAGTTTTAGTAATTTTAGTTCTTCAAATTATTATTATTATTTTTTTTTACGTTAAGGTTTTCATCTAATGTTTTATTTTTTTTTCAACTTTATTTATATTTATAATATTTATAATGCAAACAGTAAAAAAAACATTAAATTTAATTCAAATTGAAAAATAACCGTTTTCATTTCGAAAATGATGACTGCCACACATGCAGTGTGATGAAACAGTGTTGCATATAATTTTTTTTCAAAACTATCAGGCGGTATAGTGTAAACTACTTCATATTCAGTTACGTAGTAAGCTAGTATTCTATTCCATCAGTGACAGAAAGCGTGTGGGCTGTCAGAGGTCAGCAGTAGATCAGCTGATTTTCGGGCCAGCCGTCACTTGCCAAGTTCTCAGCTGACTCAGGAACAGATTTTGTGCTGTAAATGATGTTTTAGATGTGCTCTGCTGTAGTTAGTCTGAACAAGTACTTGCTCTCCCTCTGTTCTTCTCTCTCTCTCTCTCTCTCGCTCTCTCTCCCACCTGTATGCAGTTATGGATCATCTGATTTCATAACATTTGCATATATATGGCCCTAAAACCCTTTTTCTCCTTTTCTATAAAATTATATAATATTATATATAATTATAGAATAATGTTTGCATTAACAATTTTGCAGTATTGGAAGTTATAATATATATAAATGCGCAGATATATGCAGACATTAACATAATTGAAAAGCAGACTTTCTTGAAGGAATAGTTTTTTTATTCGCACAACACAAAGACTTGTTATTTTACCCATGTACCCATAAATCTGCATGATTTTCATTATTCTGTGTAAAGCAAAAGGAGATATTTAACAGACTACTCCTGCTGCTCTTTTCCACACAGTTAAAGCACACAGTGACCAGGAGCTTTTAAACTCAAAAAATGACAAAAATGTATCATAAATGTAGTTTTGTATCAAGAACAGACCCGAAATGTAAAGAGCAGCATGAACATTCTGTGAAACATCTCCAATTTAGTTCCATATAACAAAGTTGAAACAACATTTGACTCTTATATATGTAACAATGTAATATTGTTATTGTATGTTGAGTAACCTCAATTTTACACTGTAACTACGATATTGATAACATTTTTTCATTCATTAAACATAAGTTTAGCAGGCTAACGAATGATTTGTAAGAGCAGCAGCATGTCTTGGTTTGTTGGATCTTCATGCTGAGAAATGAAGAACAGATTAATGTGTTAAATGTAATTTTGATTATGCTTCATATTTCATGGGTTTAATGGAGGATGCCATGCTGACAGATGACATGCTAATTGGATATAAATTATATCTTTTTTAATGTGTTTTATTTTTAAAACTGTGCCAGCTGAATCGAGAGGAGGGGAAAAGCTTCCTGTCGACACCCGTCCTGTCGTTGCCTGTCGTTCCACATGTCGGGGAAACAGATTCGGACACGCTGACTGAGATTCCCGACAGACTCGTTCTTCATAACGACGGTGCTGATGAGGAAGAGGAGAATGAGTACAGATACAGCTGGAGTGAGTCTCACATTCGCTGTAACACACAGCAGCCAGCAGAGAGCACCGATCACACTGACTCATGCTGGACTAGATTCAGAGAGAGACCCTTGTGAAAAAGAAATACATTATAGGATACTTTAAAATATTATTTTAAAGAGTATTGTTGTGGAAATAGTGTACGGTTACACTTTATTTGACAGTGTCTTTGTAACAGTGTAATTATACATTTAAGTACTGAGTATTATTATTAACTACCTGTACTTACTATATGGTTAGGGTTAGTTGCATGTAATTATGCATAATTTATTGTTATTGATATTGTAAGTACAAGTAACGTGTAACAAGGACACCGTGAAATAAAGTGTTACCGAATATACTTAAGTGTGAACTTAATATAATTTTTTTGGACTCTTATTTGCATGTTAATTGCAATGAAATTTAAATGTATTATAGTTCAGATTTATATTAAGTGAAATTAGCTGAACTTTAGAGTGTGTTTAACCCACTTAAGTAGGACTTAAGTACATCTTTGTTTGTAATTTCATAATTAATTCTGTTGTCTGTGAAATATGGTTAAAGTACTGCTGAATGTATGATAAATTAAAATATACTTTTTAAAATATAATTTCTATTGAAACTTGGGTAACACTTTATTTTAAGGTGTCCTTGTTAGACATGTTACATGTACTTACTATTATAATAACAATTAATTATGCATAATTACATGCAAGTAACCCTAAGCCTAGTCCTAACCCTAACCATATAGTAAGTACATGTAGTTAATTAATATTACTCAGTACTTAAATGTATAATTACACTGTAACAAGGACACCTTAAAATAAAGTGTAACCGAAACTTGTATGTCATGTATTTAAATATTTGTAATTACACATTTGTAATGATGATGTTGCTATTTAGTGCATTTAAAATATATTACATTTAAATGTAATATCGAACAACACACTACAGTTAAAATTTTAATCAAGTACTTTACATGTGCTTTAGTATGTTAGTCAACACATCAAAATAAGTGTACTTCTTTAAAGTATGACAAAAGATTATTAAAACATAATGATTTAAAATGTACTTTAAAGTAAAACTTTTAATTTGACATTACAAAGTGCACTTTTAAAAGTGTACTTAAGTGTGTTAAGAAACAGTCATGAAAGTGTTACTGTTTAAGTCACTTAAGTGGCTTTAAGAAAGTTTTTTAAAAGTATACTTTTAAGATTTGAAGTACACTACAAGTGCACATTCAATACTGTTAAGCACACTTCTTTTTCACAGGGGGTTTATGGCCATAATTCACACTGTACTGAACTGTAAATCTGTTATTAGACTGCAGTGATATGCTGCAGTAATGCTACAGATTACAAGTGTAATTTACAAGTAAAAGCATCTAACTGTGTGTGTGTGTGTGTGAGAAGAGAAGGTAACAGAGCGGTACGGTCGTTTACCGGGTCAGCTGGACATGATCGAGTTGGAGAAGGGTCACACGGGTCTGGGTTTGAGTCTGGCAGGGAACCGGGATCGTTCACGCATGAGTGTGTTTGTGGTGGGCATCGATCCCAACGGCGCCGCCGGCCGAGATGGACACATTGTGGTGGGAGATGAACTGTTAGAGGTGAGTGAAAAAGAAATACACTTTAGCATACTTTTAAAAAGAGTACTTATTACTTTACTTTAAAAGAATATACTTAAGTGTGAACTGAATGTAATGTTTTCAGTCACTTAATTGCATATTAGTTGCAATAAAATTAAAATGTATTATAGTTTACATTTATATTAAATGCGTTTTTTAATGCAGTTTATATTAAATGATTTTTGACACAGTTAAGTTGGTACGTAAATACATCTTTATATCTAATTTCATAATTCTATTGTCTTTGAAATATGGTTAAAGTACTGCTGAATGTACTGACAAGCATTTATGGTAAACTAAAATTGACTTTAATGTATATACTTAAATATAAAATGTACTTTATATACAACAAAATATTATCAAAACATAATGTTTAAAAAATTGTACTTTGAGAGTAAAACTTTTAATTTGACATTATAGCAAAGGTCACTCATTAAAAGTGTACTTAAGTGTGTTCAGAAACAGTCATTAAAGTCTCTCTCTTAAAGTCATTCAAGTGGCCTTTTTGTTCATTAATATATTATCTACATGTTTTTTTTTTTTTAAGTACACTGCAAGTGCAGATTCAATACAGTTAAGCACACATCTTTTGCATGCTAAACAGGTCAGGCCATTTTCTGATTCATCTCGTTGTCTTGGCAGATAAACGGTCAGGTTCTGTATGGCCGCAGTCATCAGAACGCCTCTGCCATCATTAAAAGTGCCCCTTCAAAGGTCAAGATCATCTTCATCCGGTAGGTCGAAGGTTGTGGTGTGTAGGTGTTGATCTGAAGATATTTTGAAGCCTGTTGCAGGCTGACACGTGTGGTGTGTGTGTGTGTTTCAGGAACAGAGATGCTTTGAGTCAGATGGCTGTCGGGCCGATGAAGGAGACGGACTCACCGGACTCACACACAGAGGTGAACTCACACACATCTGTGTGCCAAACCCTAACTCTAAAAGACTTTATTTACTTCATTTCTGAATCGGTTTTAGTCAACTTTAGACCCTTGTGAAAAAGAAGTGCTCTTAATTGAACTGAATGTGCACTTGTAGTGTACTTCAAATATTAAAAGTATATTTTTTAAAAAACTGTAGATGCAGATAATATAAAATTATTTAAATAAAAGGCCACTTAAGTTAAGTTAAATTGAGTGTTTACTATTGTCATTTTGCATTATTGACACACTATTTTCCTATTTAATACTGTAAAGTTGCTTTGACACAATCTGTATTGTTAAAAGCGCTATATAAATAAAGGTGACTTGACTTAAGTGACTTAAAGAGAGACACTTTTTATGACTGTTTCTAAACACACTTAAGTACACTTTTAAAAATTGACCTTTGTAATAATGTCAAATTAAAAGTTTTACTTTAAAGTAAATTTTAAATCATTGTGTTTTAATCGTCTTTTGTCATGTTTCAAAGTAGTACACTTATTTTGATGTGACATGTAAAATACTGTACTTGATTATTTTTTAACTGGAGTGTGTTATTCAATTTTACATTTAAACTTAATATGTTTTAAATGCAATAAACTGAGACTTCATTACAAATGTGTAATCGCAAATATATTATAATTGGTAAAAATGATTGTCAGTACATTCAGCAGTACTTTAACCATAATTCAAAGACAATAGAAGTAATTAAGAAATGACATAAAAATATATATATTCAGTCCGGTAACACTTTAGAATAGGGAACACTTATTCACTATTAACTACGACTTTTCCCTCAATAAATTCCTAATTTTCTGCTTATTAATAGTACAATTGGGTTGTTTTGACCCAGCGGTTGGGTTACTACCCAGAAGGTTGGGTTAAACATTTAACCCAACCGCTGGGTCAAAACAGCCCAATTGCTGTGTTTGTCCCTATTTTACCCAGCACTGGGTTGTATTTAACCCAGCATTTTTTAGAGTGTAATATTATAGTAATATGCATGCTAATAAGCAACTAGTTAAGAGACCCTAAAATAAAGTATTACTTTAAGTCCTAGTTGAGTGGACAAAAAACACTCTGCAGTTCAACTAATTGCATTTAATATAAATATAAACTGTAATACGGTTTCATTTAATTACAATTAGCATGCAATTAATTGTATATATTGTATATATTCTTATGTATATTATTTCCGTAATAAGTACTCTTTTTATGGTATTGTAAAGTGTACTACTTTTTCACAAGGTGAGACAAACAGACACATTAAACATTCCTGATGTGTATAAAAAGATCGGTCATTCATTAATTTATTCAATCATTTGTTAATTCATTCTAAAACATAGCGCTATCCGTTAGCATTCCTCTTTATCTCAATAAGTCAATTTTTTACGGTTTTAGGAGATTTTAAGGGGCCAGCATTTGAAGCTAAGCAAACAAACGGTCACCCTCTGGTTCATTCAATCATTCATGCATATGTTTATCCATTTATTTGTTTAATTATGATGAAGTTTAACATGTTTTTTCCTCTGCAGACTGAGACGCCCAGCTCAACACTAGACGTGATCCAGCACGTAACTCTTCCTGTGGTGAGACACACACTTCAGCTCTCTTCTGGCTCAGTGTTTGTGTGGTTTCTCTCTCCGTACCGGGGATGTTCAGTGTTTTATTCTCTCTGAAGGAGGATGGAGGGCTGGGTTTGGTCCTGAAGGAGGATGACAGCAGGAGCGGATGCATCATTCAGAGTCTGGATGAGAACGGAGCGGCTGGAAGGGTAAGAATCACTGTGCTGCAAAATTAAAGACAACAGATATGATGTTCATTTTACTTTTCTAATGTGACATATTTCTGATATTCAGCCAGAGAAAAATATAGAGTTTGAAATGTAGGGAAAAGTTGCACCTGAAAGACAAACTTTTTTGTACTGATGAATTGTGCTCAATAAAACAGCAAAGTGTTTTCGGAAAATAAACAGGGTTGGTTTGGATTTCATGTCGACTTGAACATGAAGTGTTATTTTAGAATCTTTGATAAACTTGTTATAGTTTGTGTTAATGTTTTGAATTAGATTTTACATTTTCAGTTTTTACTTTAATTTCAGTTAAAAGTAGTTTTGTTGTTGTCATTTTTATACATATATAGTATTTATTCATTTTTATTTATTAGTTTTACTTTATTTAGTTTCACTTGTTTTAGTACTTCAACTTAAACTAAACGGAACTGAGAAATATTGCCTAGCTCAATTAAAATAAGTTTAAGTTTTATTTTATTTTGAAACGAACATTTTGTTTTCATGGTTTTAGTTTAAGTCAGTAATAATGTAGGAGACGCCCCGCGGAAAGAAACTGTTTTCTGGAGTCATTATACAAAAATATTTGAACTCAAAATGCTGCAATTAACCAATCATAATCAAGCATGCCTGAAAAATTGGATAATACATTTCAAGGACATTTTGTTGATGTAAATAATTCATAAAAAGAAGTCATACTTAATGTCAATCAGTGTGTTTCAGTGTGCACTAATACTGTGTCTTTTAGTTTTAATATAAACTATAATGCAATTCTCAAACCTGTGTGTGTGTGTGTGTGTTTCAGGACGGTCGGATTGGGGGACAGCGGCTGCTCGCAGTGGATGATGAGATGGTGCTGGGACTCTCTGTGGAAAAGGTAAAACTCTTTCCAGCTGTGACATGTTTTTAAGCAAGAGTTTAAAGCAGTAGTCAGTTGTGTCATGAGTTACTCAACTTCGTTGTTCCACACCCCTATGACTTTCTGTCTTCCGTGGAATGTAAACGAAGAAAAGAATATCCAACCTGCTGTTTTTAATAAAGCAAAAGCATAGGAACTGTCAAGCTCACAAAAGGACAAAAATCTGATCTAAATGTATCTCAAAATTGTTTTTTTCCACTATAATTTAAGTCTTTTGATGCCATATGGTAGCTTTGTGAGCAACAAACCAAAATGTGAAATTTAAAAACATTCTAATTTTAATATAAAATTCAAACTTATTCTAGATTCTAGATTCTTCTGTTCTCTGTAAATATTCTGTTGAGATTTTTGTGAATGTACACTAATGTTCAAAAGTTTAGGGTCAGTTTTCAAAGAAATTAATACCTTTATTCAGTAAGTATGCATTAAATTGATCAAAAGCGACAGTAAAGACAATTATAATGTCACAAAAGATTTATATCTCAAATAAATGCTGTTCTTTTGAACTTTCTATTCATCTGTGAATCCTGAAAAATAAAATGTATCACGGTTTCCACAAAAATATTGTGCAGCACAACTGTTTTCAACATTGATAATAATCAGAAATGTTTCTTGAGCAGCAAATCAGCATATTAGAATGATTTCTGAAGATCATGTGACACTGAAGACTGGAGTAATGATGCTGAAAATTCAGCTTTGATCACAGAAATAAATTACATTTTACAATATATTCACATAAAAAACACTTGTTTTAAATTGTAATAATATTTTACAGTTTATACTGTATTTTTTATCAAATATCTTTGATAAATCTATAAATCTATAAATCTTACAACCCTAAAATGTTTGAACAGTAGTGTATGTAAATAGGATTCAATATTTCCAAAAACGTCATTGTCTAATGTGAAATGTGTGTGTTGTAGGTGATGTCACTGCTGCAGAAAGCCCAGCAATCAGTGAAACTCACCATCTGCACTGACTCCGCCTCCCAACCCTCCTCATCCAATCAGATTTGCTCGGGATCAGACGCTGGAAGCAGCCTTCCGCTGGTTTCTCTGACATCATCAGAGACAGAGCCAATCAGGAGTAAGAGGGGAGGGGATCGGGGAGTTATTAAAGAAAAATGGAAAGAGTTTGCTGATGAATAAATCAGAAGCTGATCTTTGTGGTCATGATGATTGTGTGCTGCAGATTCGAGCAGATGCTCCACACCGGCGACTTTGGCGTGTGATCCGGCGACGTGTCCCATCATCCCCGGCTGTGAGACCACTATAGAGATCAGCAAGGGCAGAACAGGACTGGGGCTGAGCATCGTGGGCGGCTGTGACACGCTGCTGGTGAATAAACTCTGTTTAGACTCTGTTTCACACTGAACTGATACAAACTTGTGCACTCTGACACTCTGGAAATGACCTAAATGTGTACCAAAATAAATACAAGCTAATTGTAAACTGAATTCATGATTTCTGATTTAAGTACAAATTAGCTTCCACCATCAATCTTTAATTTTCATGGTCTTCAACTCAAAAAGTTGGGACTCAAAGAAAATCCAGTTGTTGGTTGTTATTGTTAATTAAAAATAAAACTATTAAAAATATTTTAAGTGAAATAATGCTGAAATAAAATTTAAATATTAGACAAAAAAGCAACATTTTTTCATTAGAACATAAATTAGAAATGTTGCCTTGGCAGCTAACTGAAATAACACATTTAAGTTGAAGTACTAAAATGACTAAAACTGAAATAAAAATAAATAGTTTTAAAGAAAAAAAAAAACCTAATACAAATGACAAAACACAGGGCAATTGCTAAAACTTTAAATAAAGTTGCTAACTAAATATATTAAAATGAAAATGTAAACTTAAAACCTTATTATGAATATTAATAAAAAACTAAATAGAAATAAAACAATAATAGAAATGACAAAAGCTCAGCAAAATTACTACAATTTAAACTAAAATTAAAATAAAACTGAAAATATGAAAATAAAAGCTAATTCAAAATATTAATAAAAGCTAAATAGAAATAAAAAACTAATAAAATGACAAAGGCATATTACACAATTTATAAAACTTAAAATAATTAACTACACTTAATATATTAAAATGAAAATATAAAAATAAAAGCTAATTCAAATTTTAATAAAAGTTAAATAGAAATATACAAAACTAATACAAATGACAAAAGCATAAAAAAATGACTAAAACTTAGACTACATTTAAAATAAAACTTAAAATGTGTATTTTATATATATATATATATATAATGAAGTTAACTAATTCAAAGTCTTAATAAACACTATAATAGTAATATTAAATAATACTAACATAACACTGGCCCTGTCAGCACATCAAAATAAGTGTAAAAGATTATTAAAATAAAATTATTTAATATGTACTTTCAAGTAAAACTTTTAATTTGACATAATTATAAAGTGCAATTTTTACTTAAGTGTGTTAAGAAACATAATCATGAAAGTGTCTTTAAGTCACTTAAGTGACCTTTTATTTCATTAATATTATATTATCTGATCATTTATTATATCATTTTGAAAATGCCTATTTTGAGTGGAAGCAGAAACACGCTGTTTTTCGGGCCTGTCTCTTTAAATGCAAATGAGCTGCTGCTCCCCGCCCCCTTTTCCAGAATAGAATAGCGCCATTACAGCTCAGACCTGCTAAAAACATCTGTTTTGGTTCTGATTACCATGTTAATCGCGCTGAAATCATGCGTTTTTAAGCATACGAGTGTAAACTACTGATATACGGTTTACCTGAAGCACACGCACAGAAAGCGGCTGTCACAGCATGTGAGTACTAAACTAAGTTCTCATTCACACACAAGTTCAATAGTTAATTGGGGTTTCCACATATTTCTGCACACTGATCAGAATTGCGTTCCGTATTAAATCTGTATGGGACTAAAATGTTATTTTAGCATTTTTTATCTAAACAGCTGAAAATGCTTTCAGTATGTCTTGCATTTAATGTGTTGTGTTCAAAACCCTATAACACTTGTGATGTTCCAGGGCAAAAATGACCCGGCCTCAAATAAATGCTTATAAATCACTCATTATGGTATATTGTCACCAAATATTGGATTCAATCTTTTTGTCAACTTCTTTTCTTTCATTTAGGACTGGTTTTGTATTTATATTTGCATCTGAAAACGGCTTAAGCATAAACCGGTCGACCCTGGTAGTTTTTTGCCTCTTAAATGGTTATGTTTTGATGTCACAACAGGGAAATAAACTGATTTATTAATGAAGTCATGTTTACTTGCGTTGTCAGGCTACTGATGTGCATGTAAACGGGGAAAACTGGTTATTTTAATAAGCTGGTATCTGTGAGTTATCATTGTTGCTAAATTAGTAATGTGTGTAATGGTGCATGAGTATGAAATTAAAAAATGTACACAAACATCTCTTTTTAAATGGTATTCCGTTCACAACCTACTTTCTAGATTTGCATATAACATTAAGATATGACTCCAATTGTGAAAAAGAAAAACACTTTACTTTAGCTTGCTTTAAAAAAGAATACTTACTACAGAAATAATAGACTTTAAAAGAATATACTTAAGTGTGAACTGAATGTAATGTTTTCAGACACTAAAACTAAAATGTTGATTGTGATTAAATGTAAATGTTTTATAGTTTACATTTATATTAAATGCAATTAGCTGAACTTTTTGACTCACTTAAGTAGGACTTAAGTACATTTTAAAATGTAACTACTTGTACTGCCGAATGCACTGTGGCAATAATATATAATTGTGTTTAGATATGTTAAGAAAAAATGTCTCAAAAAATTGTCAGCTCAAGCAATGCAAAAATGTAGCTTAAGTTTCTAACTCATATTTAATAGCACTGAAGTGTTAGGTTTTGTTGTTGTTGTTGTTGTTTTTTAGCAATACAGTCAACTCTTAACTGAGTTGTACTGGAGTGTATTATATAAGCAAGATTAGACAAAAATATAATTTATAATGGGATATGTTTTAGAAATGCAGTAGGCCTATATATATAATATACTTGTAATATATGTAATATCAAATAACGCTTAGCAGTTAAAATGTTAATCAAGTACTTTACATGTGCTTTAGTATGTTAGTCAACACATCACAATAAATGTACTTCTTGCAAACACGACAAAAGATTATTAAAATATTATGATTTAAAATGTATTTTAAAGTAAAACGTTGGTAACACTTTATTTTAAGGTGTCCTTGTTACACGTTACATGTACTTACTATTATAATAACAATTAATTATGCATAATTACATGCAAGTAACCCTAAGCCAAACCCTAATCCTAACGCTAACCATATAGTAAGTACATGTAGTTAATTAATATTACTCAGTATAATTACACTGTAACAAGGACACCTTAAAATAAATAATAATTTGACATTATTACAAAGGTCACTTTTTAAAAGTGTACTTAAGTGTGTTAAGAAAGTGTCTCTCTTTAAGTCACTTAAGTGGCCTTTTATTTTATTCATTTTTATATATTTTTTTAAGATTTGAAGTACACTACAAGTGCACATTCAATACAATTTTTATGCAAATGGTATACATCTTTTTTTTTCACAAGTGCCCATAAATGCATGTTCAGCTCTGTATCTCTGTATGTGCTGTCAGTGATTAACTCCGTCTCTGTCTCAGGAGCGACACAGGGGTGTTTGTGTCAGACATTGTGAAGGGTGGAGCGGTGGAGACAGATGGACGGCTAATGCAGGGAGATCAGATCCTCTCGGTTAACGGCGAGGATGTTCGTTCAGCCACTCAAGAGTATGTGGCCGCGCTGCTCAAGGTGAACATTAGAGTCAGTCGGTTAAACCAACAAAAAAAAATTAGTTTTTATATTTTGTTTTCAATTCATTTTAGCTAAGGTTTTAGTCATTTTGTTGTGCTTTTGTCATTTTTATTAGTTTTATTCTTTATGTGTACATAGTATTATTTATTTAAAAATTTATTTTAGTTCTTTAGTACTTGAAGATCTTTAGAACCCTGGCTCGGCATCTAGCTGAAATGAAATGAGTTTAAGTTGTTTTTTTTTATATTTTAATGTTTAATTTTATTTTAGCATTTTAAGTAACAAGTTTATAGTTTTAGTTCTATTTTTTTGCTAACAATGATAACCCTGGTGAAAAGCTGAGGAAGTAATGTGCGATAAGATTTGAGAATTGTTAAAGGGGTCCTATTATGCTCTTTTACAAAGTCTTGATTTTGTTTTGGGGGTGTACTAGAACATGCTCTCATGCTTGGTGGTTCGTAAAATGCATTATTTTTCTCATAATTTACATTATTAAAATACCTTTCTCCCCAGCCTGGCACAAACGGCTCGATTAGTTCTGGGTTTTAATGAAGGCCCGCCTTTCGAAAAAAACGAAATGTGTTGTGATTGGTTAGCTGTCCCAGTACGTTGTGATCGGCGAACAGCTTAGACGGTGTTTCAGTACTGCCATGCCCCTTGCCAAAGCAGCAAGTTCCGTCTGCTCCGGTATAGTTAAGGATGGCGTCAATATTGCC